ACTTCGCTGCCAAGTCATTGTTTGACCGCCTCTGGCTCTATTCCACCCTCCACGTGGTTGTGCGAAAAGAGCTTTTCGAGGAAGTCGGTCGACTGGCATACTCAACACGTGGCCAAGCCAGCGCAACCTGTGCAGTGTGATCAGTTCATCTATCGAGGGTGAGTTAATTCTCCCGAATACCATTCGACGCACTTCAGCATTGCTGATCAGGTGTTCCCTCCAGATTCGGGCAATGCTCCGAAGACATCGATGGTCAAACACTGAAAGTCTTCTGACGTCCTCGACGCGCAGCGGCCAGGTTTCTTATCCATATAGTAATATGGAACGCACCGCAGCATTGCAAACTCAACCCTTGACAGAGAAGCTGATGTCATGCCTACGCCACAGGTGAAGTAGGTTCGCAAAAGCTGCTCTGGCCTTCCCGATCCGGGTCACACTTGCGAACGTAGCATCTGGCATTATCGGTTCGACCCACCTACTCACGAACTCTTCAGCGACAAAGGTTGGAGCCGTTGAGCCCATTAATTTATGCAGCACTGGAAGACAGAAACCGGTTGAATTTGGCCGCAACCTCTTGGCTTGTGGATAATAACCGAAAAAGTTCTGTCAGAATTAGAAAATAAACAAACTGTAAGACGCCGTAATCTATTTTGGGACCTTGAAACTATAAGCAGTCAAGGGAACTTCACAGTTCAAATTTATTTTGTCAGAGCAACAAGTTTCGCGCTTCATTAGCCGAAAGCCCCGTTATACTACCAACAGTTTATAAGTAGCTGGGAGGAAGAATAAAATTGACGCATCAACATACATCCGAAAGTTCGTCACCTAGGGAAACAGTCAATCAGCGCGTGACCTCTTAATGTGGATCTCGTGCTTAATAGATGGCTTACGTCATATCCTGTCTAAGTGTGGGCTACTGCTCAGTAGCTCGTGGCCGAACAGCCAAGTGTTTTGACTGCTAACCGGCGCGGGGATCTTGAGTTCGAGACTGGAGTTTGGTGAGTTATGCGATGCTGACGATTTCCAATAAGGATGAATCAGCACTAAGGTGCTGCAAATCTCCTACGTAAAACCCCATCTATTGGTTGTCTAAAGACGACTTGGAATTTCGTTTTTGCCATCTGATTTTCCTGTAAACTTTTCTGTATAATTGATTAGAAATCCTTGTTTACTATTCCTAACATGCCTCTCCGGAGAAAGCTGAACGCAAACTAGTAGGCTTCTGCATGAAACAGCGGCACCTGATCAAATTTTCTGCTCTTTGCAACACCTGTTTTTCACGACTGTGTGTAGCTGACTCAATTCAGGGATGGCTTTCTTCCAGGAAGCCATCGAAGCTGACGAAGTGTGAGGCTCTGGCACTCTCCACGAGAGTAGGTTCTCTTTAAATTAGCCCCATCAGCATATTTTTTTAACTGTGAGGATAACGCAACAACCAACGAGTTAATAGCTTCACGATAGTCTTTTCAAAACGTCAACTTTGGTCTCTCTTGAAGGTGATTATTCACAACATCACCAATAAACTTTTGTCCTCAGTTTTGACCCGCAAACGGACATTCTTTCAATGAACTCTGTCCTATCAGTGTACAGACGATGCACACCAATACAAACCGCAAGCCCACTGATACAACTCACCACCTCGTTACACGGTGGTACACTAATGATGTCACTTCGAATGATGAGGAAGATATCGCAATTAGTATGCTGAGCTCAGAGGAAATTTTGGGCGCGTTTATATGAAGTGAGCCAGCTTCTCAGTGGCATATGTAATTTCAAACCGGCGTCCTGAAATTCACACAATTGAGTCCTTCGACTTGGTAATTAAGGTACAAATTTTGGTGCATTGTCCGCTACGGTTTGCTTCATTTTTATCTGATACTCCTACATTGCACATAACTCTTGTTCGGTACAAAGAAAACACAGCTCGTTAGCTCACGTACGGCCCTGTGCCTACGAGTACATTTAAACCAATTTATCGATCCTCCCGCTTCTGCCGCTCAGCACGGATCAACGGTCGACATTTTTGCGGACCAATCAGAACGCAGACAACCTGGCTCACTGTCGATTGGTCGAATAGACAGCTGTAAGCTGTGGCCATTGTTACGGTCTGGAGTTATTACATCGTCGGCGTAAATACAGTGGCATTTATCGATGCAGAGTGAAGCAATATCACATGGTCTGTTACTTCCGGTACTTAATGGATTAAACACAGTTGTGCGGAGACTAGCCAAGTGAGTCTCTGAACACCGTTCGATGTCACATTCGTGTTACTTTTGGGTTGTCGTTATCTTCCATTTCATTTGGTAGTCGATATGTAACGCCACAAGGTGTGGCTTCGTAAAGATGGTGAAGTATCAGTGCATAAAAAGAGACTGTGGTGTGTCGAAAGTGTCAAGTATATGCAGTGTGAATCTGTTGCTAGTGTGATGAGGTTTTGGAATTTTATTAGAGATTTTATCCTAGTAAGGACGAAACAACTGTACAGCACAGATTGTTTTCACTTAGAGGAAGAAACTTTCATTATATATATATATATATATATATATATATATATATAACCGTGTGCATCTTTGAGGTTACCTAAAATCTGCTTTTCTGCCACACCTAGTTTGGAAGAATGAATTAGTTCCAAAAGTACCGATAATAATCGTTCAGCTGTAACACCCTTTGGGTGCCTAGTTGCCATGCCAGCCGAAGGAAGCACGAGGGCTGGGATACTGCCAGGTCCATGAAGCCTAGACAGGAGCAGTCGAGAGGCAGTGGTCGGGTTTGAACCACGAACCTTCCGGTTAGTAAATTCACGCGCTAACCACTGAGCTATCTTAACTCATAAGTTCAGAAAGCAAAAAACTAAACCACGATTTACTAGAACAACTATTCGTATCATCACTGGAACTGATCACGTGGCAATAATTGTCATGTGCGTTACCAGCCAGGTTGACGTTGAAAAGGTAGACATAAAGGAGGTGGAATTTTAAGTGATCTGTTGGTTTAATTCAGCCCATAAATGACAATGAACGGCTAAGTGCCTTCTCCGAAAACAACAATTATAAAACTTTTTTCGAGAAAAACACTCATTTGCAAATCAATTTGTAGAATATCATAAAAACAAGAGATGCAGTTGAGTCTCTCATGAGAACCAAATTGATTTGCAAATGAGTGTATTTTTCGAAAACAGTCCAATTTGGGTTCAAGTGGAACATAAGGTTGACGGAAACCCGGGGACTGCGCCTACCTGATGAGCCCGAACTGGAAGGGAGAAACCGGTCATGGGCTGTCGAAGAGTTTTTAGCAACCTTGTGAGTAGTTTGCTTTATGAAAATTATAAAACGTTCCTTTCATTTCTTTGGTTTAAACATTTGCTCCCGACTGTTCCCACGAAGGCATTCCATGACAAAAGTAATTCATAGCATAAATCTTAGAGCGTTCTTAGCAGATCTACTGTTTATCGCAGTTTTTTCCCCGAAAGAACCAATGCTTTCTTCTGTGAACTCATTTAAGCCGCAGTTGCCGAAATCCAGTTGCTTTTTACATCGACGAGCTAAAATACCTCGAGCGAACCCTCCCATTTACCTCTCTACATTCCTCGTTTTTTGCTATTAAAGCTTAGTAAGACTTGCTAAACTGTGACTTATGCGAGGGACTCACCAGGAACCCAGTTGAATTTCTCGTTTGTTGTGTTCTTCAGCAACCTTATTCGTAGTGTCTTTTATTTGTAATGCACTACTCATAAGGTCGCTGAAATTCGTCGACAGCCCACGACCGGTTTAGTCCTTCCTGAGGCTCATCAGGTAGGCGCAGTCCCCGAGTTTCCGTCAACCTTATGTTCTACTTGAAACCAAATTGCACGGAATTAGTGGAATACAGTCACTTGCAAACAAAGATGGCTTCGCGAGATACTCACCTGCAACCCAACTGAATCGTTTGTTTGTGATGTATCGCCATATCTCAAATATCGTACCAACTGAAATATGAGGCGGCCTGGTGCAGCACATTCAGTTGCCTGGATACATCACAAGCGAGCTATTCAGCTGGATTCCAAGTGAGTCTCTCATAAAACCAAATTAGTTTGCAAATGAGTGTATTTCACTAGCATTCTTTCTGTTTTCAAGAATGGGACTAATAGCTTTTATGATTTTGCACTGAAGTATTCGATGATTTCTACTACAAATGAATTGGTGAAGTTCGAAAGGCAGGTGACAAATACTAGGCTAGCCAGCTCGGTCCTGTCAAACCACAGCAGCACTTCCTGTAAGGGTCAGAAAGAAGGTCGTATACTTTTCTACTCCTGGGCAGCCACTAGTGACTGGTTTAGGCTCCGTCTGCTAGACGGGAAGCTGTGACTTTAGACGTCGCTGAAGTATCGTAGGAGCGAACAGCTGATGGTGCTCAGTAAAGCTGAAACAATTGATCTCGGCATTTCGGCATAAATGGACTTCAATCCCAGGGATGAATCTCGAATTTAAACACATCCTGTCGCTTCCGCTTTGCTCAGAGTGCCTGTAGAATCAATAGAATTCTGTAGTGTGCTGTTTGCACGGACATAAGCGAAACAAACAATCATTATGTCCACAGATATCATTGTTATAGATCACCGCCCAGTGTATCGATGATGGAATGGTCCCGTCGAATCGGTTCCAATACGGCCCTGGTCTCTAGTACTACTGACTACAGCCACTGTGGTCTTCACAGATGTGACAACGGCGTCAGAGAATCGTCTGACTATTTCTATGCTCAGTTTCCCAATACGCGATACACCGCAACGCACTATAAAGCACGCAAACTTTCACGATAATACTGCCTTCTATCAAGGAAGAGGAGCAGATTAGGACCGAATCTAAATCATATTAGGCTTGAAACGCAAGATCGAACAAAAGAACAGACCCATTCTTGAAGTGAGAAAAAGAGAAAGGAAAAAATGGGTCTCCGCGGCAAGTGATCAATTGCACAATGTTCGAGTTACAGAACCAATCCAATCTCAGGGCGAGCAAAGCGAGCTCATTATGTGCTTTGTGGAGACAGGACGAAACCAGGTGTACCTCTGTGGATGCTTCAGATTTAGCCTAAGTGTCTTACCTATCAGACCATGTGCAGACTCACATGACTGTAGATATTATAAGTATCCGTTTTCAAGTAGCGTAATGTCAAGGCAACAACAAGAAGTGCATGTTTATCTGTTTATG